CTCAGCACAGCGCTGCGGCGGTGAGGGCGGCGAGCAGCACCAGCGGGCCGTGTAGCCACTCAGGGCCGCGGCCGCCGTCCTTCTTCTTCTTCTTCGGTGCTGCGGTGCTCGTCGTACTCGACTCCTCAGTAGTGGCGGGCCGTTCCTCTCCTGTTCCTGTAGTCTGCTGATCAGCTGGAGACTCTGGTGTTGGGGCAACAGTAGTGGTGTCAGGGAGAGGAAGAGTGGCAGAGGCACTCATGGACTCACTCATACTGAGGGATGGTGTGGTAGTAGTGAATTTACCGTTATTCCACTTTACATATTGCTGTTCTTCTGCGCTATCACTTTCCTTTGGTATTTTAAGGTGTGTCTGCGTCTCCTCCTCCCCTTGTCCTTTCGCCTCTGTAGCGTATCCACCCACACGTGGTACCGGCAGTGGTATCCTCTCTGCTGCTGCACATGTACAGATGCAGGAGAGTATCAGTAGCAAGGTTAACAATAGGAGAGTTGTGCGCATAGTGATTGTGTAGCTGTGTTCTTTCATTTATGATGTCATGTTATGAAAGAGAAGAAACAGAGAGCAACAATTTATCATTAATAATACAGTTCTTAGAATGGCAAATATAAAAAAGGAAGGTTTACTGTTAAAATCCAAACTACACATCCACTGATAAGTATCAATAAAGAACAGATTTGATCATTATGGTCTACTTGTTTTTTTATCTGGTTCTAACACTACATCGTGCAGTGTAACAAATAATCAAATACAAATAGTTACTTGAAGTTTCATCGTGTAAGAACCTTAGACGTATAAAGAAAGGTATTTTCCGTTATGAAATATTAGATGAAGATAGAATAATAATATTAACAACGACACCCATTAGTGTCATCTATAAACACATCATTATCTTCTTTTCACTGCATGGTGGGGAACTCTGGTTTAGGGTTTGTTAGTGGGGCATCAGTACTGCAGTTAGTACCATACAGTGATGGAAATCAAGTGACTTCATTAACTAACTACATTATTGACTGAAGGTATAACAGATGTATACACACACAGTCCTTCCCATGAAGAGCTTAGTCGTAACTAAGTAATTGCAACACTATTAACTTTTATTTATTCCTTTTTGTTTTCCTTTTCTTCCATCCACTACGTAATCCACGGAAAGCGTTGCAGTATCATTGCTTCCCTCTTTTCACTATTCATGCCCTTCACTAACAGCCATATCACAGTTAGAATAGATGTACAGGTTACATATACGCCATCCTTGGCATCTTCACTATTAGTCCATTTGGGACTTCAATTGACAGGAAGGAAAAGAAGAAGGTAGAAAAGAACAGGAGAGTACATATGTGGAAAAGAGATCATTATTAAAAAGTACATGTAAACTTTACTTAGCTCATAGTGAATAAAAGGGAAATAAAAAAAAATAAACCCATTAGTTTGACTCGGACTGCGTACGGAAAAGAACAATATGTAAATAAAAGAAGTATAAATAATTAATTAATAAAAGGATGATATCCACCGTTCAGTTAATTATTATCAATTTATCCTCTTCAGTGCAACGTACAGTGAAAAGAGATCACAAATGAACCACAAAAAAAAAAAAAAACAATAATGACTATTACTAAAAAAAACAAACTATAGGATTGTACATGGAGAAGGAATACTATAACCACTAACTACTTCAGACACTACTATGAGGTGTTGGTTCGCAAACATCAAAAAAAAAAAGAAAGCAAACAAATGTATATAAAACAAACAAACAATAATGAATTAGAATATTATAGATTCAGTTATCTGTTAAGGGTGTCCACAACAACATTACCCACCATCGCAAACATTCTCTATTAAACCTTTACTTCTCTCAACTATTAATTAATTGATGGATGCAGTAACATTGTATACCTCCTCCACTACTACTGCCTCTGTTGGTGGTGGTTCTATTGGTAGATCCATGCAG